TGGGGAATATATGCCCAGTGTATCTTCTTTATCATTTCACTTTCAGATTTTCTGTGTCCTTATGTTTTCAGTGTGGATTATTTTTTCCAATCTGAATTCTTCGTTTTAACGAGAGTTTAGTCCTTGATCAAGCCCTCTCAAATCCAATCCTAGTAGCACTTGGCACCTGGCAGTATATGCTAGCTAATTCTTACACTTGTGAGGTCTCATCTGTTTTCTCCCTTACCAGGCCCAGCACATCCACAGCCAGCCTGTGCTAGAATTTGAGCCTAGTTACTGGCCTGGCAGCCAAGAGAGGAGATGGGGACAGTAACTGTCTGAGGGGGTGCTAGAGGGACCCACAGGACTCAGCATAGAGCTGCACTCACAACTATGATATTACAGAGAAAGAACACCAGGCAACATCAGCAAAGGGGAAAGGCACATGAACAAAGTCCAGAGGAAATCTGGCACAAGCTCCAAGAATCGTCTTCTAATTAAACCACAGAGGATGAGCTGAATTCCTCCAGCAATGATGTGTAACACATGAAATACTATCCACCAGGGAAGTCTGCCTGAGCCTGGGCAAGCCTGCAGTCCAGGGTTTTTATTGGGCCTCAGTCACGGAGGCACTCTTGGCCTGGCATGTATCAAAAGTCCAGATTTCCAGAAGGAAAGCAGGTGTTTAACATAAATCTTACTGTTTGTACAAAGGCTTCAGGCACAGTAAACCACCCCTATCAGTTAGGGAATGGGAGAGGGGGGACACTCCTGAAATCCAAACTGCTGGATACTAGCCAGAGGTGAACTTTGCAGGTAGGCCTTTCTAAGGAGAACAGGTTCAGGTACACCATTTACGAAATACATAGTAAACTGAGCCGTGACCTCATGCCAACCACTTACCGATCAGGAGGTCCTCCTCTTCAGCCTCTGGGTGGGAGATGAGCCGGTTCCTCATCTATGAACCTGTTTCCTCACATCTCACTCCTGGTCCACTTGTGTTAGCCTGGGTCCTCCAAGAAGGAGACACCAAGACCAAGAAGGGATCTGCTGTGTAACAGATTTATTAGGAGCAATGCTGGTGAGGCAATAAGAGAGGAAGCTGGGTTTAGTGGGAAGCCGGAAGCAACCAGCCCCCGATGCAGGTAGGAGCTCAGCTGCAGGAGGAAGCCACTGAGATTAGAATGTAATCCTACGGAAGTCTGGCAAGACCGTCAGGAGTCCTCAACCCAAGGCAAGGTCCTGATCAGTCACTGGGGGCAGCAGCTGGAAAAGCCAGGATGGGTTTCAGAGTGCAGCAGCTGCCGAGCTCGGAGTCACTGTGCTGCACCTGCGGGACATCTGCGAGACACAGTCTCCTGGCCACCGCCACAGGGGCTACTGCTCTCAAAATACACCTGAAAAAGATTTAGTATCAGACAAATATTTAGCACCAACAGCGCATGGTAACTTGCAATACTTTTAGTTTAAAAAGTTACAAAACCACCTAAAATAGAACACTGATTAAAAATGAAAATGTAAATAATCTTTTAAATTTCATAGATCGAACAACATCCTATGCAGATGAATTCTGGGGAAAAGACTTTTCTAAACTGCTTGCTGAGCTGGGAGCTTAAGCTGACCTACAGACAGCATATTGTATGAGGACTAAATCAAGGTTAATCAATGACAAAAAGTAAGTGTTTCTAAATGTTCATAACTCAAGTAGTCTTCTGAAATATGATTTGTATTCATCAATACTAAAATACCATTTATAAGTTTATCTTGCTGATTGACCTCAAATACCCTTAGCAAAGCAAAGGCATTCCTACACATTTTACATCTAGTCCTTAGGTTGACTGTTAAGTGACCATATGTAAAACTTCTGAAGCAAAGAAACAGAACAGTGTTTACAGATGTTGCTAAAAATTATTTTACACCTGTTTTGGAAACTTCTCAACTCTATGGGCTCAGATGATAAAATGGAAGACTGTCCTCTTACACAATATCTAACAGGATCGGTTTTTTGTTTCAATGTTATCTGCTTAGAGAACACTGACTATCAAAATCTGTAACACAAAACTAACCCAAGGAGACTAGAGTCATTGCCATCTGCTAAGTTTCAACAAAACGCTGGTCCCACAGTTGCTCTGACAGTTCCTTCCAACCACCATGTTTTTAACCCAGAGTAAACATTTCCTATGATCACACAGTTAATTCCTACGAAAAAAAAAAAAAAAGTGTTTTTATAGTAACTAGGTTTCAGCCTTTGCATGAACCTGATGGCTGTTAGTACAAATGATAGAAGCTACTAGAAATAAACCAAAATATTTAATGGGAAAGAAACTTAAAATGTTTGCGGTGCCTGGGTGGCTCAGTCATTACGTCTGCCTTCGGCTCAGGTCATGATCCCAGCATCCTGGGATCCAGCCCCGCATCAGGCTCCCTGCTCAGCAGGAAGCCTGCTTCTCCCTCTCCCACTCCCCCTGCTTGTGTTCCCTCTCTCGCTCTCTGTCAAATAAATAAGTAAAACCTTAAAAAAAAAAAAAAAAGAAACTTGAAATGTTTTTTTTAAAAATGAGATCAATACCATTTTAATGTAGAAGATGCCATCTTTATTTACAGGCTAATAAAAAAATATTAAACTCAACTAGATATAATACATTTGTCATAAATCCTATAGATCTGAGGCCGACCCTACATGGAAGACTGAATAAGTGGAATAGTGGAATACATAATAAAGATGTCAAATAATGTGTGACTTACACATGAATCAATGAATTTTGTTTCTTAACATGAAAACAGAGTAAGTCCACTGTATGGGGAGTAAAACCAGCACCAAGCACAAGCTGTGTTACCTTTTGACAACTATTCAGTTATAATTACCAAGACTCACAACCTTTCATTTCTCTTAAACCTGTTTTAACAAGCCTCATAACCCAAATGTTGCTGCTCCATCATATTCCTAACAGATAACGTAGAAGAGAATTTTAGAGGCTAAACTGTAAATACACACACACAGACACACACACCTACACACAACCCTCACACTGTGGAACATTTTTTCTCCGCTCCTCTGTGTGTGCATTTGTAGATTTTTCTTTTTCCTTTTTAACTGTAATGGCTTTGCAACAGTTCTCTCCTTTTCTATTTGGTTTTGTCCTAGAAACTTAGGTGCTAGGAATTTCTTCCCTATAAATGTGAAAATATAAAAACTGCTTCTCATTCAGACTCTAATTCTTAGCTCATCCCCCAGAGACCATTCTAAAATGAACTTTTAACTAGGTACTTTCTAAACACCTGCCAGGAAGCTCACAGTAGCATCTGAGCAACAGGGTTCTCATGCAGACTTCGCAAACCAGGGTGAAGCAGGAATGAAAGCGGAACTGACTTAAGCAATCTTAAACTACCTGGGAAATTTTTCCTTTTGCTCTTCAGCCCTTAAAAGGAGTTTATGTCATAACCATCCCATATGATCCATATTACACAGCATCTCCAGAGAAATGCCAATTCAAGGCTCTTAAAATACCCTTCATGGACTTTTTTAGATTGTTCTCGAAAATCAAAAAGTTTTAGCTAGTATCTCCTAAGGATTCTGTCTAGTAGATAAAGGATATTCTCTGGAAAAACACAAAACAAAAAACCCCGCCATGGTCATCCCATCCCAGGCTGCGTTTTAAAAAAAAAACAAGAACATGGTTTCAAGTCACAACAAAAATGTTTTCAGATACACCACAATGGAAATTTTTTTGGCTAAATGAATATACTGGCTCAACTCCAGCTTGCAGATCTCATGTCATGCCTGGGGTATGTATTTGGTGTAGGGGGAATGCATAAGGAAAAAACTTTCTTTTAAGAGGCCTAGCCTGCCAGGAGCAAACAGTAACATGTAGCTTGCTTATTTGGTTGTACAATTAAATACTAGCTTTTGCTGGGAGGCAACGTTACGCTACAAGGTATTTTAATATCAGTAACAATATACACTATGAAGTGCATTTCTATTACAAACTAACATGGTGATATACAAATGAACAAAACCATCCAAAACAAACCATAAATGAGCAATAGTTAAAACATAAAATTTATAAATAACAAAACCACCAAATAAAGTATATACATTGTGTATAGATTTACCTATGAACAAATATATAGTGCATCTAGGAAAGACAAAAAAAAAAATGTGTTCTGTATCACGTAACATCTGAATATTATACATGAAGATACTGGTAATATTCTAAAAGCCTTGTAGGCTTGTCCCCCACTTAATAGCCCCTTAAATGTATATCCTTTAAAAAAAATCAGTGATATTGGCAAAACTATCACCTCTTAAATGCAATGTTTTCACTTTCCCCAAGCAGGGTACCAATGGCCTGCAAAGCAGTAAATAAGAGAGCAGGCCCTCCATGCTTAATCCTGGGATAAGAGAATTAACAAATCTGTAGTTTGCATATGAGAGCACTTTAGTCAAGCAAACACTGAGATGAAAAGCCAACCCAAACAATTACTGCATCAAAATGTCTTCACCTTATCTTGCCCACCAGTGCCTCAGCTTTTTAAATGATTGGCAAATAAGTTACTTTGAGAGAAAACTGCTATGTAGATGCAATGTAATTCACTGACAAAAAAATCTGAGCTATTACTGCCAGAAAAATGTATCGTTAAGTACCAAGACTATCACAACAAGACAAACTTTATGAACAACTCAAAATGTATAAAACTGTCTTTTGTGGATCCCAGAAAAAAAACTATTGGAGTCTACACATTAATAATGTAATGCTCCAATACCATGCACACAGATCAACATAATTGAGGACAGATATTTTATACTCATCTGCATTTCTTTTAAAAACCAAGAAAGTACAATGTACAATAACTTTTGAGAAAGTATTTCTAGTGCAGCATTGATTGATAAAGGATTGCTTAAAGAAAACTATTTTGTACTGCATTGAATGAAGCTGAAAGGCAAACTCATTACAATAAATGATCATTAAGAACTGATTTAGATATCAGGCTGCAAAATAAATTAAAAAACTAAAACCATTCTTTTAGTTAAAAAAAAATTAAGTCAAGCCTATGTTTCTGCAATTCATTGAATTAGGTTCTGTCTCTGAAATACCACACTTAACATTCTGGAATATATATAATATGAATTCATTTATTCTCTTGTATTTAAAGGCTATTTCTTATAAAATTCCGGTTAGCACGGTCCTTCTACTAAATGGAAAAGGAGACAAATAAAACAGTCGTGCTTCATTTGGTACTTAAGAACCTAGTAATATCCCTTTGGGAAACACATGCTTTGGTGCTTTACAGTTTTACAAAAATCAAAGTTGCTTTACATGCAATAGCTAATTATGGTATACCACAGAAAACAGGGAGTTTTATGCATTTAGAATTGTTCACATGAAGCCCTGAGGTACCCGCCTTTCATTTAGGCTACAAGCCTCCCTTGATCTTGTATAGTCTTTGTCACCATTTCCCTAGTGCCCCAAACTCAGAAGAGTCTGATCAACAATCTTGTCCGGAGATACAGTCAATTTAGTACGATTTTTTGTGATACAGACTGTGCAGATCATCTAGTTTAGAAGCACTGTCTTCTACAGGAGTTTCACTTGAAGTTCCTAAGTCTCCATTTTCATGTCCATCAGCTACTGCCTTCTTATTAAACCCTGAAAGAGAAAAAAAAGGCAGATACTTTCTAATCCCAAAAAAAGTCTTATAACTTGATTGAGCAAAGACAAAGGAATGCCCACTATAATTAATAATATTAGGCAAATAATGGGGCCCTAAATTAATCAAGTTAGTAATTTCTGACAAAGGGATTCTTCCTTCTTCTGCCAGATATCAAACACTGTACAGATTTTTTCATATTCTCTGTTGGACCTATCAAAAAATTATATATAATTTCTTGCCAGACTTTCCATGAAACTTAGAATTAATACACACAATCGTAAAATTCAGTAAATTCTACTTACACAAATATATAATGAACAGCCAACTATATGTTTCTTCTACATTTCGCTTTCAGATTATTTAACTGCAGTGAACTGAGGCACATGCTAGCTTCCTGCTAAAAATCTAAGTTGTTGGCAAGACAATGTCCAGATACAATTTAAAACAAATTTTGGTTAATCTAAAAAATAGACACTGGGCTTGCCAATAAAATCAGAGTTGATTATGTCATCTATTTAGTGAGCTATGAAGTATGGACGTGTGCTAAACAATAACCAATGGATACAATTTTTGTGATTTGAGTCAATAGTAATAAATCATAAGAGCATACATTTTGGTTTTATGAGTCACATTTTAAGTGGTCTGCAATTTACAGAGGTGACAGAGAAGTCTTTTAGCCTCAGCTGCAAAAAAGGAAAGGAAGAAGCCTTCTAATCCGGACAGAAAATAGTTGAAAGGGTGAAAGACAATGAAATCATAGGGAAAGCAGCCCAATGGTGTAAAGTTCTGATGTACTGCCACGATAGTTTTGTTCAAGATGCATGGGGAGAATACGACTGCTACTGCTGTCTACATGTACATAATTCATAAAATCCAGGCTTACCACAAGAACATTAGTTCATTAGTTCACTATATAACTCTGTGCCAGAAATTCCTCATTTTTGGTTTTCAGGATGCCTTCACACTGCAGATTCCAAGAGTTTTGTTCATGTGGTTTACTAATGTTATGTAGGTTACTGATGTTTACCATATTAGTAATTAAAACTTCTGAGAAATCTAAAAAAATTATGACTTTGTTAAAAATGAAAATAAGCCTAATAAATGTTAACATAAACAACATATTTGTCTCAGTGGAAATAATTCCATTCTCTAAAAATTTAGTCAGAAGAGGAGCATTATTTTCAATTTTGCAAATATCCTTAAAGTCTGGCTTTAGGGGCGCCTGGGTGGTTCAGTTGGTTAGGCGTCTGCCTTCGGCTCAGATCGTGGTCCTGGGATTGAGCCCCGCATCAGGCTCCCTGCTGAGCAGGGGCGCCTTCTCCCTTTCCTGCTCCGTCTGCTAATGCTCTCTCCCCCACTCTGTGTCAAGTAAATAAATAAAATCTTTAAAAAATAAATAAATAAATAAATAAAGTCTGGCTTTATAGAACATAGGTGGATTTTCTTATTTGCCTCTGCTCAATCTATTACAAGTATATAAAAAAGTTCACCCTCACACAGATACATAGTTGGAAGAGGGAAGAGTAGTTTTAATAGGCTTTTCGGATAACTGTCAATATTCTTCTTTGATACTATACCAAAATTGGAAACAGAGAATCTGAATCCATATCCATGAACTGTTCACACTGTTACGTTAAAATCCACTTGTCTATCTTGCTGTTTGAATGGCTCTTTTACCCATGCAGGATTTTGTAACATCATACACTGGTCATTTGAAAAAAATTAGATCACTGAGTTACGTAGCAATTCTACAAGCTGACATGTTTCATTTTTACTATATCAAAAAAAATCACATTTATTAACATCACCACCAATCTTATTATACAAGTTTAATGTTGGAAAGCTGTCAAGCTCATGGTGATTGATACAGGTTTTACAAAATTCTAATTGTCACTTGAAAGCCGAAATTTTATCATTGGCAATAAATACTGTCAGTTGTTTCCCTGAAGTGATGGACTCATTTTGTTCCTTTTAAAGAAAATGGCTGCCAAACTGTCTGAACAACCATAATTTGTCAGTCATTCTTCAAGTCAAAATTGTCTTCCATGAAAAAAATGGCCAGTTCAGCTAGCTACTTAATCACTTAGGTGCTTTTCTTTGAGACCAGCATGCAGACTCAGTGCTTTATGCATACTTCCCATCTCATAACACACGGTACAAAAAAGACATATATTCAAGGGTCGAGATTTAATAAAATGAAGTTTTACTATTTCATGAAACTGGCATTTTCTTCTCTCTCTTTTTCTTTTTTTTTTAACTCTGAGTAGATGGCAAGAAAGAAACAATGATTACTTTAGTAGTAGTACCACGGTCTTGATTTGTACTAAGGCAAACAGGTATTTACCCCCACTGCTTTTGCACCAACAGTGCAAATATCAACTCAGGAAAAAAACCACAAATAATGTTTTACCATTATTATGAACCTTTTTTGGGGGGCGTTTTATTTATTTATTTGAAGTTGTTTTTTTTTTTTTTTGAGACAGAGAGAATGAGAGAGAGAGAGAGAGAGCACATGAGAGGGGGGAGGGTCAGAGGGAGAAGCAGACTCTCCGCCAAGCAGGGAGCCCGATGCGGGAACTCGATCCAGGGACTCCTGGATCATGACCTGAGCCGAAGGCAGTCGCCTAACCAACTGAGCCACCCAGGCGCCCTATTTATTTATTTGAGAGAGACAGAGAAAGAGAGCATGTGCGCGCACGTGCACATTGGTGGGGGGAGGGGGGGAGGGAGAAGCAGACACCCTGATGAGCAGGGAACCCGAAGACGCAGGTCTCAATCCCAGGACACCGAGATCGTGACCAGAGCTGAAGGCAGAGGCTTAACAGAAAGAGTCACCGAGGTGCCCCTATTATGAACAGTTTTTATCTCATGAATTCCCTAGAAGGGTCTCAGGGACCCCCCCGAGATTCACAGATCACAATTTAAGAACGACTGCTCTATGTAAAAGAAAGGGCTAGAATTTCTCTTTACAATATGTGTAAATAATAGCAAAGGAACTAAACCAAAAATTCTCAAGATCACATATCCTGATTCTAATAATAATCGCAAGACAATGGTCTAATAACATATTCTTACTAGTCTACAAATCATTGTATTATGACAGAAGAATTTGCATTAACAGCAAGCTGACAGTAAGATGTATCTACTCTAAAAGGCATTTTTATCAGTCTATTTCAGAATCTGGAAAACTTGAATTTTTATTTTTTATTTTTCAAGGATCATTTGTAGTTCAGTAACTGGTAATACACTTGTCTTAAAATCCAAAATGAACCTAAGAGAACTTATATGTAAATAACATTTTGGCATAGTGACCCGTATGCAATGAAACTATAAGCAAAGGAGAGCTATTTGATCTGTTAATGATGATTTCCCCAACACTAAAACAGTGTTACTGAAGAAATCTAAAATTTTGTATTTTAAAAATTTATTAATAATAAATACATTAACAATAACTTTTAGAGTAATTTTTACCTTGCAAGACTTTGATTTCCCCGCTTGTGTCTTTGCAACTAGCACCAGGATTACTCCCTCCCTCTAACTCATCAAGGTACAAACGGTAGCGATGTCCACTCTCATCTTCATACTCTACATTTTCATCATCAGAATCCACTTCAGGAGCCACATAAACTACTTCAAATTCAATCTCTCCTCTCTAAAATGAAGAAAGAAAATGAGGAAGTCAAGTTACTGTAATTATACTCAAAAAAGGGTTTCCAAATTCCTTGATAGGCATGAGAAGCCGTCAGACCTCAAACGTAGCTCCTTTCAAGACAAGAGATAATGAAATTCTAGAATCTCAAAAAATAGAAAAGCACAGAGGCCATCACGTCCAGATCAACCCCATGAATCCTAAGTAATTTCCTTTTAGTATTACAATAGCTCTTTGTACTAGTCACAGTATTTTTGCTAACAGACCTAAACTAAAAATGAATGCTTAACTACTCAACTTAAAAAATTTTAGAACAAATGTTTAGTTTAAAAGTCATTCTGCCATTTTGTACTTGACATAGCAAATCCACCTAAGTAGTCAGATATTAAAGTTGCACTTAAGGGCATCACACAAACTTTTCCTTGACCAATTCAAGAAACCTCTACACAATGATTTCTTGTTTCTTACTGAATACGTCTTGAGCCTTTACTTAACTTTCACTGAGTACCACAGTGTTAATAGTAATTATTATAATAGTTATTTTATTTATTGTACGAAACTATATCCTTCAATCCTGTACTGTCTCTTTTACATGAATGAGAAACCTGAATGAGTTCTGGAAAGAGCAGATAATTTTTCCAATATGATGAGCAAGTAAAATAGAAAAACTGAAATTTGACTCCAAAGTCCTTGCTCTTTCTACTAGACTAAATGTATAATATTTGGGGCGCCTGGCTGGCTCAGTCAGAAGAGCACTTGACGCTTGATCTCAGGGTTGTAAGTTCGAGCCCCATGATGGGGATAGAGATTACTTAAATCAATTTTTAAAAATACTTACTATAAATAAATGTTAATATCTGTACTGCTATTTTTTTTTAAGATTTATTTATTTTAGAGAGAAAGAAAGTGCAAGCAAGGGGAAGTACGGAGGGAGAGGAAGGGAGAGAATCTCAAGCAGACTCCCCGTTGAGTGCAGAGCACAATGTGGGGCTGGATCTCGCAACCCTGTGGATTATGACCTGAGCCGAAGGCAGACGCTTAACCTACTGAGCCACCCAGGTGCCCTTTACTGCTCTTCTTTAATAAAACTTAGGCTCAAGTAAAAAGTTACAGGTTATATTTTATGTTTAAAAAACATTCCAAGTCATTTAATAAGAGAATACAATCACTACATACAAGTCTGGTATTTGCAACTCTGAAAATTATGGCCTGCCTTTGCTCCAAAGAAACCATGCCATTTTTTACTGCCACTCACTAAGTCAGTCTCTCTGGTGCTCTGCTTTCCCGGCAGTTTAAGGTTGTGTTTCAGAATTTTAACACACGCTTAGCATTTCCTTAAAAGTTTGTGACTGCCTGTATTTCCTTTATCACAGCTGCCATTCAACTCACTCTCGTGCTACCGAACATGGCCAACTTGGATTGAGAAAACACTAACTGAAAGAGGTTAGGGTTGCATTCTGAGATCTCTCTTAGCAGATAATGCTTACAAGTACCATTTGGGGGAGACAGATGGATAATGCGGTAGTCTTCCATAAAGTTCTAGATTAAAGAATCAGGTTTGTGGGTGACATTTATGGAGACAGATTTTAGGCTTAATATGAGGAAGACCTTCCTAAAAATCAGCAATGTACAACAATAGAATGGACTACTTTATCAACAAGTTACCCCCAATGTAAATATTTAATTAGTGATACTGTAGAGATTTATACAAAGTAGAGTTGAACCAATAAGCTATAAATTCACTTTCAACTTTGAGATTCAATTCTACACTGAGGACCCAACAAACATCTCAATGTACTATCAACATCTAATTTCTTCAAACTTCTTCTTGAAGGAAAAAAAGAAAACAAAACAAAAAACCCATCTTAAGTAAACTTGGTAACAAATAAGACTTGTGGGTATGAATCCCAACTCTATAATTTATTTTCTTTGCAACCTAGAGCAAATCCCTAAGAACCTTAGTTTACTCATTTTAAATAAGAGGGTTGGGCTAAATGATTTCTAAGGACCCTTTCAATTCTAACATTTATGTCTGTAAAACCCATCTGCTTCTAACATTATGTTTTCTATAATGCCTTCTATTTGTACAGTGTTTTAGTCATTAATGACGTTTTGCTTTCTAAGTACCAGGTCCTGTTCGGAGCACTTCCTATGAATCAACATACTTAATCCTTACAGCTCTCCAATAAGGGTGCTGTAGCAGAGCAGAGGATTTAAGTAACTTGCTCGAAGCTATATAGCTGTGGGAAAAAGCAAATAAAATCTTCTTCAGTAAATGTGGCTGAGTATCTTCTATAAAAGGCCCAAATCAAAGGGAACTAGTATCTATATATAAACACTTTACTACTTGAGAAGCCTCAAGTACTGGAAGTATAAAATATTCAGTAGCTTCAAGAAGATCCAATTTTAATTACATAAAGGGAACTTACCTGCTGGGAAAGAATGGTTACAGCTTCTTTATGCTTTGTGTCCCTTAGGTTAACTCCATTAACAGCCAGAATAGCGTCTCCAACGTGCAGTCCTCCACATCTAGCAGCAGGTTGCCCTGGGTGGATCTCAGAAATGAGGATTGGAACACCGTGTTCTTTCCCACCCTAACCAAAAAGGAAAAAAAAAAAGGCAGTCAATTAGTTTACTCTTTTACAGTCAGACTTTTCTAACAATAAAATATCTTCTTAAAAATACATTTCAATAAGCATCTATCCTGTATAAATGCTGAGTAAAATATTATTTGCTACTTAGGTAATGGTAAATATATTACAAGTATCAAACGAAGAGTTATCTCTGAATAAAACAATAACATACATGTGCATGTGGTTTCTAAAACACATTCCAAAGCCAAAAAAAAAAAAAACAAATCAAAAAACTACAATCGGCTAAACTCTTTTAAACATAAATAAAAATATTTTAGGTATTAATAGTCCACAGCACTATTAGATTTTATCAAATCTAAATCACTATAAGACTTACCATTATTTTATGTACTACAAAAATCACTGAAAGAGTGTAAGAAGAAACTCAATTTCAGAGATATTAAAATGTGAAAAAACATGCAACACAGAATTGATAAAATGCAGTTATTTGGTACCTTTCACTTTTTAGCTTGTGTTATAATTATTTGTGTGTATGTGTGTATATATATATTATTTGTGTGTGTGTATGTGTATATATACGTATTATTTGTGTATGTATGTGTATATAGATGTATTATTTGTGTGTGTGTGTGTATATATGTATTATTTGTGTATGTATGTGTATATAGACGTATTATTTGTGTGTGTGTGTATGTATATGTATTATTTCTTCTAAAATTTATGCTCTTTGAGGGCAGTGCATTCAAAAAGGTAGGTAGGTATTCAATAAATACCTATCAGGTAAACTTCTTATGATAAAAAAAATTTCTACACTAAACAATACCAAAAAGCAAATGCACTTATGCAGTATCCATGTATTACCAAATGAAACACAGAGTAAAGCCATCTTATTCATTCTTCTGGAAAAAAGCACTGTAAGGACAGCAAAATGACTCCAAATATATGTATTTTATAATATGCTGCTCTCAGAAATGTTGCCCAAGACAACTGTTTGTAAAGGCATCAAATTTAGAAAGGAAGAGTATTTGGACTCAATAGCCAGTGAGATCTGACAACAAAGAAATGAGAACACGAGAAAGGCACATACTCTAGAGAAAAGCACAATACAATCTGGAGCCATTGAACATAAAGAAAACAGTCATATCCATTCTCAAGGTCCTGGAGGTAATCACAGCATATTGTACCAAACTATAACCCAAGTCATAATGAAAATGCTAAATTATGCTTAATAAAGTAATAATTTTACTAAAGTAATACTTAATAGTCATTAGGAAGATTTACATACAAAAAAAAGTTTACACAAAAGTGTTGGTAACCATGGGAATAAATTTAGTTATTTAGAGAACATATCCAGAATACTTTGTTTCCCAAAGATGTCCAACAGAGGAGCACGATTATACTAGTTAATTACAGAAGAGGAGCCTGGAAGCACTACTTCTTACTGTAATTGAAATGCCAAGGCCTTCATGATCTTCCTTAAGGAGAAGAACTTTTCTAATTGGACCAACACCCTGGCTTTTCTTTAAAGAGTCTTGATCCTTAATGGGGGGAAAAAAAAGAAAAATTAGTACTACTTAAATGATGTATCAAATAGAGTAAACCCATGCTATATAACTCACTTTTAGAAATCTTCATTGATTTCCTGGAATGGATACACAGTAAAGTGTTAAGAAAATAATTAACAGATAAAATGGAAAAACGAAAATAGTTTTCTGTTAATATAGCGAAACGGATGATTTTCTCACGCTTTTGTCAGTTTCTTTAATATTAATTCATCTCCTTTTAAACTGTAGGACATTACAAAGGAAACTATCGCCAGGAATTAACCTGCAAGCAAATATCTTCAAGAAATAAAAGTAGTAAAATGTTTATTTTCACTAGAAAATATCATAAAGATATACATCATTTTAACTAATTTGTAGAATTAAAAAAACAAACTGCTAACTGGATCATTAATTACTTTTCATTCTGTTGAGCTCTGGAGTCTACCTCTTAAATAAAGGACTTTGGTCCATAAATTATTCTTTCTCTGGTACCTTTACTCTTTCCTTCTCTGCTAAGCTCCTCCCCCTGTCCAGCATATAAACAAATTCTAAGCCTCTTCCAGCTTTAAATCTAACCATGTGAAAACATAAAACAAAAAAAAAACCCTTCAAGTATCTACTATCTTCTTTAGCTACCACCCTTCCCTCATCTTTCCTTAACCTTTACACAAAGTTAATCCACGATATCTAGTTCCTTGCCTCCCACATTCATTATTCCAGTCACCATAATTAGGGTTTTGCCCCCACCTGCTCTATTAAAATTGTCTTCTCTACAGTCACTGGCAACCAACATGGCTCTATCCAATGGACACTTTTTAGTCACTATCCTATTTAAACCTTGCAGAAAGTTGATACTGTTCACTACCTCCTTCCTGAAACCCTCTTTTCCTTGGCTTCTATTACACTACCTTACTAGATGGACTGTATCTGACAGCTCCATTTCAGACTCCCTCCTTTGGTGATCCATTTCTTTCCCTCGCTCCATAGAAGTTTCTCTCCATCCCTGGCCTCCTATTCTTTTTATTTTCTATATACTTCCCTGGGTTATTTAATCAATTCCGTTGTTGGGTTACAACAGATAGATAATTTACCTAATATTTCTTCAACCCAGACTTCTCCTAAATTCCAGAGTCATATATCCAACTGGATATATTTTGTTTGTCCCAATGGCACCTCAAATACTACATGTCTAAAACAAATCTCGTATTTCCCCCCAATCTTCCTTTTCCTCTATTTGCTTTATCAATGAATGCCATCATCTCACTCAATAGCCCACACCAAAAACCTACACTCTTCCTTCTCATTTACCCACATACTCAAAAGCAGTTAATCACCAAGTCTTCTTGATTCTTCTTTTTTTTTTTTAAGTAGGCTCCATGCCCAACATGGGGCTTGAATTCAGGATCCTGAGATTGAGAGTCACATACTCTACTGACTGAGCCAACCAGGTGCCCCCAACTCTTCTTGATTCTAATTCTCTCAAACCTACCCTTCCTCTCAAATATACTTCCCCTACATTCATCACTTTCTCCCCAAGTTACTACAGTATCTTTCTCATGTATCTTCTTGACTCCAGTTAGGCCCTCTCCCGGTATATCCTCTTCACTATACCAAATTAATTTGTCAAAGTTATGTTAAATCTTGAGTCCACCATTTTATTAAAAAATCCCATGATTATCAGGTTAAAGTTCACACTCCTTTAGGTAGCATGAAATAACTTTTGCCATCTAGCCACTGCTTGGAATTTAATGGTCCCCAATGGTCCCCAGTGTCCTAGAGAAGACAATGGCATAAGTGCTTACTGCAATCCCCACTCTTCTCCCACCAGCTTCATGTACATATCAATTCTTCTTACAATAATATTTGCAGAGGCAACAAATACTTGAACTTGTTTAAGGCCATGGTTTATCTGGTACTAAGATATGTAAGCCACCGGGTAGGAGTCAGACACGCTTTTATTATGGAAAGGCTTATATTATCAGACAGCTGTAGTAATGAAATTTAATAAAGATTTATCCAGATAGAAAAGCTCTTGTACAATGGTGGCTACAGATGCAGACAGATGGACACGGGTCTCAAATTCCACCTTAATTCAAGACCAAACAGGTGGAAACGTTCATTCAGAAACTATAGTTGAATCTAGTTACCAAAAATTTCCTTTAAGAACTACCCCCAAAATACTTGCCAATTTATTAATATGACCACATGTTCTCTGCTAAGCTTAAAAAAATTTTTTTAAACATGCCTAATCATGATCCAGGAGAATTCTGAAATACGAGCCAAAGTATGAGCAATATGTATTTGGTAGCAATAGTTCAGTTTTCAGAAATATCACTTTCAGGGCATTTCAGGGTAAGTCAACCAAGAACTTTATGTATCTGTTCTAAATACATTTAATTCCACTTTCCCTTTTTAAATAATGGTTTTAAATACCACTAGAATAAAAAAACATTGAAAGGACTCTGACTACAGGAAAAAGGAAGAGGTGGAGTAAGAAACAGTAACGAAGCAAACATACGTGGCCTGGAGGGGCTTGCATTGGTCGCTTCAGGTCATTACGTCCTCTACAGGCTCTGATCACAGTTTTGTGACGATGCAAATGTATTTCAGCTTCCAACTGGTTCCAAAGCTTATCATGAGCTGGTCCCTTCATATCTCGTCCTAGTAATTGTATTTGTTGGACCCTTTATATTGAGGAAAAAGTAAATTCAGTTAGTTTTTCGTTATTATAATTTTTATTACAGAGAGAATTCAGAAAAATTACTGAACACAGTAGCTTCTGCATAAACCTGTTAGTAATAAAACTAGTACCTTCAGGAACCTCCTGAGGTGTCTCAGATTTGTAAAATACCAAAGTCTGAGAAGAACAGATGTCAAGAGAGAACTAGTTTTTTTTTTTTTAAAAAGAATGAATGAGACCTTTTCTAATCATATACTTAATTCAAATACATCTAAAAACAATTTTTGAGACTAATGTCAATGAATGTGTTTCATGTCTTGCACACAATCAGGGTAGGTCAACAAACTTAGATACTACTGAATACTAGGTCTTTACAAGAGTCTAGTACAAAAACATTTCTTTTTAATGATAGTTTCTTTTTATAAAATGATTATTTCAAATATGGCAAAAGTTATTAGAAAATGTGCACTTCAACATGATATAAATTATTTTTATTTGCTCCACATTTCTTTTTTTTTTTTTAAGATTTTTATTTATTTGACAGAGACAGAGACAGCGAGAGCAGGAACACAAGCAGGGGGAGTGGGAGAGGGAGAAGCAGGCTTCCTGTGGAGCAGGGAGCCCGATGTGGGGCTTGATCCCAGGACCCTAGGATCATGACCTGAGCCGAAGGCAGATGCTTAACGACTGAGCCACCCAGGCACCCTCTCCACATCAGTTCTTGATGTGATGTCAAAACAATGAGTAAAAAAGTATTTACCAAAAATAATAAATCACCAAAGTCTGTGAATAATTAACTGTAAAAAATTAATGCAAGCAGAACTTTGTACTATTATGATAAAGTCACTGTCATTCCAATGTGTCTGGAGGTTCAAGAAAGATTACGTTTCAAGGATCACAGAAAGAATTCCTCACGGAAGTCATGCTGTACATGTGAACATCATCTTTTATGGTTTCAAGGCAGGAAATGGCTGAAAAGTGCAGATCTAGAGTTATTAGCATTTCAAAATAAGTTCCTATCAGTGTGTGTGTGTGTGTGTGTGTATAAACCAGAAATACTTATGTAGTATGGCTAAATAAATCTGCAATATATAATGCTATCAATATTAAGTTAAAAACAGCAAGCTATAACCAACTATAAAATAACTCTTAAAGATTATTGTTTAATTTACCACAAGAGATTAAGAGTCAACCTCATTAAATATCCAATTTGTTACCTAAGAGTACAACGTACTCATGTTTTACACACCTTCCTGCTAGTTCCTTATCCAAGTACTTGGCAGCCAGTCTTGCCCCATAAACTTCAGCCTGGAGAACAGCTATATGTCTACGAAGGGCTTCATTCTCTTTTCTCAACAACTTCACTTCAGCTTCAAGTTGAGCTTCTTTCATTTTTTCTTTTTTGTTTGCTTCAAGCTCTCTCTCCTATTTTAATGAAAAAAAAAACACACACACAATGTAATGAAAATACTTTTAAGGCTTTTTGGCAACAGACTATGTTCCTCAAAATACATAAAAGCGCACACAGTCTACACTACTAACAATGAAAGCATATGATAAGAGTTACCACTTCATCTCCATAAAATGGAACACACAAGCAAAGATTTGGAGCCAGTTCTTTTTAACTAGTACCAGAAGGTGTTGGGACCACTTCAACATAAGATAATTCTCTGCTTTGGGGTACTCTGACACCGAGGATACTAAGAGAATTAGTCTTCTCTAAGCTCATGTCATCATATACTAATAGGAGTGGTTTCAATGAATGCATCTGCTCTCTATTTACTTTCTAAAAATGACTCAAGAAACTATAGACTAAAATGAAAATAATCACTCTGGTGGTTGTACCCGAAGATTTAATTAACTTTAATCCAACAATTCTTTTTTGTTGTTGTTTTTTAATTATTTTATTTTTTAAAGATTTTATTTATTTATTAGAGAGAGAGCAAAAGCAGGGAGAGTGGCAGGCAGAGGGAGAAGCAAGCTCCCTGCTGAGCAAGGAGCCCGATGCGGGACTCGATCCCAGGACCCTGGGATCATGACATGAGCCGAAGGCAGCCGCTTAACGACTGAGCCACCCAGGTATCCCTAATGCAACAATTCTATAAACAAATCAAAATCCTTCAGTTACATATACAGATTCTATAGCTAATTTACCTTAGAGGACTATAAGAAACTTACACTGTTTAAATTAGAACAGATACTCTAATTTTTTAAAGAATGTTTGATGGTCATGGAACAATGCTGGTAACAAATGCATTGAAATATTGACACATTAAAAAAATTCTCTATTTAAGCATATCTATGGTGTAGATTATCACTGAATTTGGGGATCTGATTCATCTATCTGTCCATATGTCAAAGTGAGTGAAGTTAAAATGAATGTTTACAGAGGAAAACAGGGCCTCATCTGCCTTCTATGAGGTAGAATGGGCATCCATTTTTAGGTCTCATAAAAGGATGCCATCCTATGCTCCACTTGGTAGACAGTCCATATATGTGAATTACAGGTGTTAGCCAGAGTATAAAACCTCAAGATCTTTGCCATCCAATTTTTATCACAAGCTTACACATGAGAAATAATGTTCAATTTACCTTAAAAGTATACAGTACAGTCTGACTATTCCTACAAATCAGGGGTGACGAATGTGAATGCCTTCAGGACCCAAGCACAGAACAGATAGGCCGGTACAAGACAAAGTAGAGTGGAAAATGGAAGGTACAAAATCTTGCCTAAAGGCAGTCAAATGCAAACACACACAAACTCTGTGGCTAAACAAAACTCTTCTGAGAGTTGAATAAGGGCCCTGATAGATATTTTAAGTGTTATTTTTGGATCAAGAAAACTATCCAAACACTGTAAACTTCCATTTGTCCTGAGCAGAAGTGTTTTCACTGCCTTACAGAACTGCTTTTACTGACTCACTGATACACAGAATCTATAAATCTTGTGAAAATGTGGCTGTATTTGTTGACGAGATGTGGAAGACACTGTTCATGTACACTTTGTGAGACTTAAATAAAGATCTAGCTGAGTACCAGAAAAAAACGTTTCTCTTGAGCAAACCGTAAGTGATACTGTTTCTATTGTATGGGTACTGATTATTGTAATTATTTCCCTTCTTATTCCGGATATTAAAAAGCTGAGAAACAAATTTAAACAAACTTCTAACAATTCTGGAATATATTTTGGTTCTAATTTAACCGTCTGCTTTGGTCTACTGTTTTGACAACAGTATATCAATAAATGATACAGCTAAACATCAATATATGATATATTCAAATACAAGGCAGTGAGTACCACTTAAACATACACAAAAAAATACAAGCTAAAATGAGTAATTACCAAGTGGTAGATGTATTTATCACCTCTTTGATTAAAAATATTTGTTATTATAAACAGAGGAAGATTAATTAGCAAGATTTTTCAACTTCTGTAAAAAAATATAACCATTAGACCATAATTTCTAGATACTGTTTTTCAAGAATTTTAAGAACTAATAATTTAGAATCCTCCCTTTTCAACAACTTTGGAATTATTAAAATCATAATTTATTTCAGAACCTATTTCCTAAAAGGCAAGTATCAGTTCCAAAAAAACCCCACAATTTGGATGTGTTTTTCAGATGCTGTTTTTCAGAAAAAGAGTTCCCAGAAGACCAAGTATTCTTTGGTTTATGGACTAAATAAACTTTACGTTGAGAATTATCTACTTACAATTACTCTGATGAGCTATTTATACAATGTTTATGAAATGTGAGAAATACATATTAAGTCACCATTTTGCTTTCATGATTCAAACCCCTTATGAATCTGACAAACCCTCCGGCCTGAAAACAAGCAAGCACGAATAGGACTAAGAAAACTGAAATTAATCACTTCTAGTTTTAAAGAAAAAATATGTATCTTTAGTTAACCTGTTTAATAGGTAATAAGCAAGAAGCTCATTTTGTATTCAGAGAGCCAAACAGCATATTTTCAAAAGAAATAAAGCCATAAGACAAACTGGAACCTGATTATTAAGAATTTATACATTGTTATTTTCTAAAATAAGTTCTGGTAAAGAGTTTCAAAATTCAGTTGTTTCAAAGGTCACACAATTATTCCAAGACTGCTACTAAAAAGTTATAATACATGCAGCGGATGAATAAGAAACCAACATGCACATTCTTTCTCTCGGGATAAACTCAAATAGAAAAAGAGGAAAAAGCTAGGTCTGCTTAATGTATCTTCCAAACACTCAAGTGGGAAAACCAATTGCTCTTTTGAAGTAGAGGTTTGAGCAAATTACAAGGCTCAGAAGTTGTCAATAATTGATGGGTTCTGCAAATAATGGTTACAAATCACAAACAAAAGAAAAATCTTTAACAACATGTAGTGAGAAGAGAACAATGGGCCATCAACTGAACTTTTCAGGTACTGGCAGATTAAAAACTATCATCACGAACATCATTTCCAAATACAAAGTAACAACATGTAATACACAAGTAAGACACTAAGAACACTTTGGCATGACATATTAAAGCAAAACAGAAATAACATACTTACCAACTCCTCCACAGAGGGGACAGACTTAAGATATAAGAAAAAAGTTTGATAATTAGAAAAAAATCAAACAAATGAATTTATCTAGTGGTATAATCATTATAAGGAAAATTCCCGTATGCTGAATATCATTTGGGTAAAGTTCATTAGAACAAATATATTTGCAAATCCATAAGCAACAGTAACTACGTAGTGTTAGATTAAAACTTTTTGTTTCACCAAAATTGGTCAACTTACCTGGTTCGGTGCCTTTCCACTACAGCACCCTGTTTCAGATCTAATGTTAAAACTTCAAGTAAATTCTTTTCTAGTGAAAAAGTACACTGTTTCTCAATGTTAACATCAAACATTCCAAAGAAGCCTCAAGAAATCTGATTCATTTCAGTTAAACAGAACAAGGTTACTAACTTAGATTCATAGAATTTCTGAAATTAAAAGGTTTAAGGAGAATAAATATTCAATTAAATAAATTCTAACATCAGTATTAGAAACCAATCAAATGAAATTAACTGAAATCAAGTAAAACTTAAAAATGTATGACTATCATCATCATCATTTCATCTCCTGCCTCTCCCAAGCTGTATCTGTCTCATTGCTGTGTCCCCTATGGTCAGCAAAGTGTCTGGCACAGAGTGCACAATAAATACATAGGAGATTAAGCTGAAATGAAACTTAAAAAAATTTTCTACTTAACCTGTATTAAGAGGGCAAAGGTTACCTATGGAAAATGTATATAATGAGTATTATACAAACACCACAGAATGTTCAGTGGCAGGAAAAATGCTTATAAGAGCCACAAAAAAATGTACTCCTGGTTGGCACCTAATTCCATTTTCCCCTTCTTCCTTATTAACAGAACTCCAGTTTGACTGGAGGTGGCCATGTCACCAAATAAAAGGCTGAAATGCAAGCCGGGATTGCCAATGAGATGGCTAACTGGATGGGCAAAAATCGCTGAGGAGGATTTCATGAAAAGTTCTTTAAAGAAGGCTAATGCAATGCAGCCTTTTGCCCTTTTCTTAGATTCTTCCTTCTTCCTGCCTGCAATGAAGAAATCCTAAGGATGGAAACCATGAGCTAAAAATGGCAGAACACAACAACAAAAAGCACCCGGATATACCTAGTTATCTATAGGGCTATCATATCAGCTCCGGATTACCTATCTTGGGACTTGGGAGAAAATAATTTGTACTAATCAAGAATAATCCCAGTGTTATTTGGATTTCTGTTATATGCAGCTAAACTTAATCCTAACTGATCCAATAGGGCAAAAAAAAAAAAAAGTTTACATGTTATAATCACAAATACCTTTTAAATATATTTGCAGATACCTTCGAATAGGAAAAAAATCCTATTCTAAGTATCAAAACTGCCTATTGGTATTATCACTTCTCACCCCTAGGGGATGAGACTGTGGATGATCATAAAGATCTTTACATTTTCTGCATTTTCTAAATTTCCCACGATGAGCACATATTACCGTCTATGTTCAAAGCCTCATTAAAAACTGTCCTCTTCACCCTCTAAAATACATGTAAGTATATGTTACCTTCTGAACTACTTACCAGTTTTGCCTTAATGGTACCAGAGTCAACACTCTGACCAGTTTTAGCATGGAGCTGAAGCTGGATAGAGTGCAGCTGTAAAAGCTGATCGTGGACTTCTTTCTCCAACACAACTTTCTCTGCCTGGGTCTCTGTCAGTTCAGATTTCAGATCCACCAACTGAGCCTTATAAAACAACAACAATGAAAAACATCAAGTAAGCTAATTTTCTTTATTTTGACTCTAATAATTATTCAAAGATGACACAGAAGGATTACCTTTAAAATGAATAGATGAACACCAGAATGAATAGATGAACTGAGTTATAAGACATCCAACTAAACAGTCATAAATTCAATAGCACATGTAAGATATTTGAGTGGCAAGAGAACCAACTCTACCAAAAAGAGTATCTTCTTTTTTTATTTTTTATTTTTTTTAAAGATTTTATTTATTTATTTGAGAGAGAGAGAGAGAATGAGAGACAGAGAGCACGAGAGGGAAGAGGGTCAGAGGGAGAAGCAGACCCCCTGCTGAGCAGGGAGCCCGATGTGGGACTCGATTCCAGGACTCCGGGATCATAACCTGAGCCGAAGGCAGTCGCTTAACCAACTGAGCCACCCAGGCGCCCAAGTGTATCTTCTTTTTTTAAAATAAAGTTTGTTTGTTTGTTTATAATCTCTACACCCAATGTGGAGCTCACACTCAAAATCCTGAGATCAAGAGTCCCATGCCCTTCCAACTGAGCCAGCCAGGCACCCCCATAAACAGTATCTCCTAATAACACAGAATGCTATTTCCATTTTACTTTGCTTACTTGAAGAAAGCTTTTCACTGTTTCACCTTTACCTACAAAGTTTATGAAAATATAAACATATGGGATGGTTCATCATCCTTAGAGATAACATGTGTGCCACAGTGATCCACTAACATTAATGGTAAAGGAGAAGCAAGTGGCCACCCCAGAGAATACTAGCCCATATCAACCAACCCATTATCAAGTAATTATTTTAGGTGCTAAGGTAGGAGTCACTGAGGTCACAATGGGCCTAAATATCAGAGTTAACTGTAAGCTACAGTTCTGCTATAGCAGAACAACTCCTCGGAACCACTTATCCATTCAAACCGAAGTTTTTGTTTTCACAATTAATGTGTTTTACAATTGTGCACAGGATGTGTTTCTTGTGGGTCTGGTCTTCCCAACTGGCCAAGAGATTAAAGTTCAAGCCTGGTGATGGGGATTAAAGAGGGCACGTATTGAATGGAGCCCTGGGTGTTATACGCAAACAATGAATCATGGAGCACTACATCAAAAACTAATGATGCAATGTATAGTGATTAACATAACAAAATTAAATTAAAAAAAAAAAGAAAAGGGCGCCTGGGTGGCTCAGTCAGTTAAGCGGCTGCCTTCAGCTCAGGTCATGATCCCAGGGTCCTGGGATCAAGTCCCGCATTGGGCTCCCTGCTCAGCGGAGAGCCTGCTTCTGCTTCTCCCTCTCCCTCTGCCTGCTGCTCACCTTGCTTGTGCTCTCTCTCTCTCTCTGTGTCAAATAAATAAAATCTTTAAAAAAAAAAAAGAAAAGGCCTGAGTTTTCTATTTAATTCAACATAATTGTACTAAGCATCAAGGGGCTCAGAACTACGCCAACTCAGTGAGAAAAGAATTGTGGAAAATATGTTTAAAATTATAGATGATAATTATTTATGTCTTGGAAAAGCTTTCTTATCAACTGAGGTGATATAAATGCAAGCCAACTAAAGAAAAATGTGGCAAGTTACAGATTTATTTAGAATTGGTCATCCCAAGGAATTCAAAGCAAAGGAAGGTTTAAAGAGGGTTAGTGAGGGAAAGAGAATTCAGAAGTGTTTTGAAGTTAAATGACAAGGACAAAATAGAAGTAGTAAAGCAGGGGCGCCTGGGTGGCTCAGTCACTAAGCGTCTGCCTTCGGCTCAGGTCATGATCCCAGGGTCCTGGGATCGAGCCCCACATCAGGCTCCTGCTCCACGGGAAGGCTGCTTCTCCCTCTCCCACTCCCCCTGCTTGTGTTCTCCCTCTCTGTCAAATAAATAAATAAAATCTTTAATTAAAAAAAAAAAAAAAAGAAGTAGTAAAGCAGTCCACAGACGGAAAGAAGACTAGCAGAAGCAGAGAGAAACCTGAAGCAACTTAGGTAAATTCTCTGGGTACAGAGAACAAAGGACTGAAATACATATCTACCAACTGCACCAATCAGTACCTAGTACATAAAAGATGTTCAATAAATATCTTTAAGTTGAAATGAATTCTAAGACTAGCCCTGTACTTCCAGATAAATCACTGTCTTCGCTGGTTTCCCCAATTTTAAAACAGGGATAATATCCATGGCTTTGACTATTCTCCTAAGATTATTAATCTTATACATGAAAGCACTTACTAGAGTATGAATATGTTATTATCAAGGAGTTTAGACTACTCAGAGAAGTTCTCTATTGACAGAATGCCCAAGACTGGATAGGAAAGCGAAACTGGATAAATGACTAGCTCTGGATGAAAGACCAAAACTGAAATCCAATCCCACTGGAACACTGCATGCTCTCAATGACGTTTTCAGTTTTGTTTTAATGACGCTTTACTGAGATATAATTCCTGTACCATAAAATGCACTCTTTAAGGTGTATGATTGAGCAGTTTTTAGTATATTCATAGTTATGCAACCATCATCACTGTATAACTTTGAAACATTTTCTTCAATTGACATTTTAGTGACATGTTATTTGCAGGAAAGGTGAAGATAGGGACATTAGCAACACCCTATTGTAGCTTTCCGAATGATGTTATAATGGTAACTTTGTAAATGGAAATAAAGCATTTCACAATGCTGAAAGGAAATTGTTGGCAACACAGATTGGATGTCCAGTGGAAAATCAGATCAACAATGACAAATATTTCAAGCTTAGAGAATAGTGAAGCATTGAAGGAAATAGTAAGATCAGGATGGTAGCTTATGTAGACATGAGGGAGGAAGACAGATGAATTAAGTTTTAGACATGTTTGATTTTGTGTCAGCCATGATATAATCAACAGGAACTATCCCATGGAATGTTGAAAATAAAAAAAACAAGTGATAAATTGGGACTAGGGTTGGCACAAGGAGCACAGAGATAGGAATTTATATCCTAAGACTGAATTAGAGGGAAAACAGATGGCCAAGGACTGGGGCTTGGGTAACAACCAGAGGTAGAAGAAAAGAGGTGGCATGCTATAAATATAAACCAAAATGTTTCATAATATAAACACTGCTGCATCTTGCTTGTGTTACTTCTTAGAGATCACTCCATACCAGAAGAACTTCCTCATCCCTTTTGTAATATTTTTATTCATGTATAACTTACATCAGAGAAGTACACACATAATGAATTCCAGAAAATTAACTTATCTATTTAACTACCACCTAGATAAAGAAACAGGACAGTACTGGCACTCGAGGACTCTCCTTGTGGCTCCTTCCCAATCATTACCTCCACTTTTATCCACAGACATAACCATTAGAGTAATACCCTGAATTCTGACATCACAGCTAGTTTTGCCTGTTTGAATATTACATAAATAGAATCACTCGTGCCTGGCCTTTGTCTTAAGATTATGTTTATGAGATTCATTCATGTTTTGTATAGCTGCAGCTCATTCATTTTCACTACTACATAATATTCATTAAATGAATATACCAAAATTTATCATTTGCATTCTTTCTGATGGATATTTATGCTGTTTTCCAGTTTCTGACTATTAAATTGATATTGGTATGAACCTGTCTTTTGGTACATATGGAATACAGTTCTGTTGAGTATATATCTAGAAGGGAAATTGCTGGTTTACAGTGTATGAATACATTAAACCCTGGTAAATAAGGCCAGTTTTCCAAGTGATTGTGCAACTGACATGCCCACCATTTATGAAAACTCAGCTTCACATCCTTGCCTTCACTTGGCATTGTCAATCTTTTTACTTTCAGCCATTCTGGTAGGAATACAGTGGAATTCCATCATGATTTTAATTAAACCTTCTTGATTACTAATCTTAGTAATTAATTAGTAATTAACTAATTACTAATTATTTAGTAATCTTATTTACTAATTCTTGATTACTAATAAGGTTAATCACCTTTTTCATGTTTATTGGCCATCTGGATATTCTGTTTTGTGAAGTGCCTATCAAGTCTCTTGCCTATTTTTTCTACAGGATTATCTATTTTTTTCTTATTCTTGCAAGCACACTCTCTCTCCCCCTCCCTCCAAACACAAACACACACACACACACACATTATGATAGGGGAATGGGCAAAAAAGGGTGAAGGAGAATGAAAGGTACAGGCCTTCACTTATAGAATGAGTAAGTCACAGGATGAAAGGTACAGCACAGGGAATACAGTCAATGGTATTATAATAGCACTGTATGGTGACACAGGGTAGCTACACTTACGCTGGGCAGAGCAGAGCATATAGAGTTGTTGAATCATTATGTTGTACACCTGAAACTAATGTAACATTGTGTCAACTATACTTCAGTTTTTTTAAAAAAGATTTAAATGCTAAAAGATTTAGCCTGCTTCTCCCTCTCCCACTCCCGCTTGTGTACCCCCTCTCGCTGTGCTTCTCTCTGCCAAATAAATAAAATCTTAAAAAAAATTAAATAAATGCTAAAAGAAATAATTATGCTAGTAGTCGACTCTGTTCTTTAAATATAATAAACATATGCAAGATATTAAAGCAGAACTTCATTTCCGTTGCCTTCTAAAAGGGTATGTAACAGTTTTCACACGGTATCTTTCACAAACACTTCCTAACTGAAAAACTTAGAAAAGAAAAAAAAAAATTTACATGTATGATAAATGTGTTATAGATTTTCTTCCATTTAACAAAAAATATGCCTACCAAAAAAACTATAAACATTTAAAATCACCTTTTACTAGACAATGTTCAATATAACTTGAAGATTGCTCCTTTAAAGTACAAATAAGTCTTGGGGTGCCTGGGTGGCTTAGTCGGTTAAACGTCTGCCTTTGGCTCAGGTCATGATCTCAGGGTCCTGGGATCAAGCCCCACATTGGGCTCCCTGCTCGGCGGGGAGTCTGCTTCTCCTATTCCCTCTTCCCCCCCACCTCGTGCTCTCTCTCTCACACTCTATCTCAAATAAATAAATAAA